AGGGTTCAATCTGTGAGTTAGCCATGCCATGACATAGAAGGGTTTAATGATGATGAAAGATGAAATGAATGTTGAATTTTAGATTTCGGCTTCCAAAGGACTCTCGTTATAATTAATCGCGAAGACTCGAGCTTCAATCCCCTCTGCAGCATTCAATATTTTCAAAATATCATTTTCTTTTCTAATTTCCAGGTTCAGTCAATTTGCGTGGCTTTAGCAGATCCCAACGTCTTAGTACAGCGATGTCTTCTCGACTTTGTCTTACTCTTCTTGCCAATGAACAAGGCTACGCGCATCTCACCATCCGAAAAAACAAAACTTGCCGCATCTGGTCTTGGAGTTCTCTTACGCCGAGATATGTCCTTGAATAGGAGACTTTATTCATGGCTTCTAGGCCCTGAAAACGAAGAGACCCCAACAAACGATAGTTTGTCAAGCGTTGAGGAGATTACGGAGAGTTTTAGAGAGACTTATTTTTCGCTTCATTCAAAATCGTCGACGGTCGAGGCCCTTCGGTTGTTGTTCAAGTGTCACTACAGTTCGAACGTCATTGTGAATCCTATAAGTGGTTCTAAAAGGATGCATAAAAACGAAGCACTTTGGCCATTTCGAATTCTTATAAGTCTTCTAGATAGGCCAGAAATTGGGAATACGGTGCTAGAAGAAGTTCTTATCGAAGCGTTCAGGGTTCTGTATTATCGATGTAAAGAAACAACGGATAAATCTGACGAGCTAGAGCGAAGGGACTCGTCTGAAAGTTTCGACCCAGAGGAGGAAAGCGAAGAAGACGCTACAAATAAGTCCAAAATGACTGACGAATTGATTAAGACAGCCAATTTACTTTTTAACGCCTTTGAGCCTTATTTCATGTGGGATTACGTCTGTAAGCTGCTGTCAGCGAGTAAGATGAGCGAAGAACAAACGAAAGAAAAAGRGTTAGAAAAGACAGGAGGGGAAAATGAAAAAGAGACCAAGAAAGAGGAATCCAAGATTCCTTCAACGACGTTTTCAGAAGTTCTTCACTTGACCGACATGTTGCTCGACATTGTGGCATTGGTATGTATTGTATGAACGATGCGAAGCAACAGAAACAAGTGGGAAAACTCGTAGCTTTTTTTTTTACAGGAATCGGATGTCGAGACGCAGACCGAACATTGGCCGAGGTTGCTACGTCACGTTACTAGGGAGATGACGTCACGGTGTCAATCAATGGGCTTGGTCGAGATCCGCGAAGGCATCTGTCTGTGTTCGAAGCTTCTTTCCCGGGTTATGCCTTCTATGAAGCCGGTTGAACGAAGAACCCAGACGTCGATGTCTGTTGCTGGGAGCGTCGCTTCGGACAAAGCCGAAGGGAGGTATGACGGTAACCATGGTAACAACGGTAACCACGGTTACCAAAGCAAGCATAGTAACCATAGCAACCGATATGAGTCTCATCCACCATGCAACACATACAAACAGCTCACATCGTCAAGTGACTCTTCGTCTGTGTCTAAGACTGACGATTCAATATACGATTCAATTTTTAGGGACGAGTCGTTTAGCTCTTCAACCGAAACAGGTAGCTCCCCTACGCGGGAAACTTCCGAAGGACAGCTGGTTCATGTGGCGAGGATCTCCACAGCAGAAGACGGGTGGAGTGTGGTAGACCTTAGGAAACGGTTAGAGACCGGAGCCAGTGGCGCCGGTGATGAGCGGTCCTATGATGAGAGCGAATCAACCGAAACAGATGAAGATGATGAAACCATTGATGTCAAAGATATCTTAAAAGCAGAACAAAAAGCACTGAAGAAAGAAAGGTCGGAAGAAAATAAAAATAATAGCGAAAAAGAAGAGGTTGATAAGGATGATTACGAGGAATGGATGGAATGCCAAGAATCTATTGACGTCACTCAAGATTGCGTGACGAAAGAAGAGCGCGTTATACGAGTGGAAAGCGGTATAAATAAAGGGCCATTCGATGATCAAGCTTCAACACCAGGTTCTCCAAATCGCTCTTTTCAACCTTCGGTCATACAATCTTGCATTGACTATTTTCAGTCCTTCTTCTATGAGTTTGTCAACAACAGAATCATCTTGCCCTCAAAAAATGTGGCAGAATTTCAACGAACGATTTTATCAAATTCAGGATATGTTCTAGATGAGCTTTTGGGCTTAGATAAGTGCTCAGACAATCGGGAATTAGCGACGAAGGAGAAAAAGGAAAGCTCTGACTTGGATAAAGACGAGGAAGAGAAACGATTGAATAAGCGTTTGCCATGGGAGCAGGAGAGTTCTTTGCTGTGTGCAGAAGCGTTTGCAGCAGCCTGTAGATTGTTGGTGGAGTTGTCGTGTTTTCCTGTGTATTGTACTAATGATTTGGTGGCAGAGGACCAAGCTGATGGTGAGCGGTGTTTGTGTAAAACGTTTTTTAGAAAACACTATAAATGCTGTACAAAGAAATGTGTAGTTGAGTGGCAAGTCTTGCCACACGACTATACATTTCGTTGTAAATTATACCGCTTTCAAAACAATTTTACTCCCAAAATATTAGACATATTACTCTCAAATTTTCAGTAGTTACGAACTAAGACATTCTCTTTCGATTTCTGGAGTCGGTTTGGTTGTAGCTTGAAATTTTTGTTATGCTAATGAGGAAAAAACGTAAATAACGATCGGTCTATTGGGGAAGGATTGGGTCCAAGGGTTCTATGAATGTGAGCGCCACTTGTTTACCCTCACACCCAGCCACTTAACCATCCAACCATCCATTAACTCATTCCCTTGCCCACTTACTCTACTCATCTCCCAATCCACCCAACTACCAACGCACTTACCCACCCAACCATCAATGCACCCAACCATTCGGTCACACACTTATCCATGCACCCACCCAACCAATCATCCAGCCATTCCCTTGCCAACTACCAACTTACTTACAAAACCAACCAATCATTTACTCACCAATTTATCCATGTCCATTCCCTGAAATTAATTTATTCATACATTCACTCACCTAAGTCTGTCTGCGCGTTGGAGCCTTATTGTAGTTAATAGAGAGTTTTAGATTTACGTTCACGGCAAACGTGAAACGTCAGTTGGCCAGTAAAAAATTCTTTTAAATTACTGAAAAAGAATCGCAAAAAAGTCCAAGTAGTAGAAAAACAAAAGAGTATTTGCGCTTGGTGAGAAGGTTTGTAAAAGGTAAAGTAAAATACACGAAAACTATGAAAACGTGGTTACGTTTGCCGTTTGCGGGGAGAAAAAAAGGTAAATCTAAATCTAACTCTCTAATCTCTTTATTTCAACGTTTTGTTCGTTCCAGCTTCATGGAATTCTAACCAATTTTTTTCCTCCAATTTTGAAACGTTAGGCAAAACTGACTCCCAATTACCAGAATGGCTCCAAGCTCTCATCGYGTGCTGTTTTAGAGTCAGTGATTTTGATATCCAGAGCTCAGCCGTGGGTACCTTGTTAGATCTACTGAACTTAACAATGTCAGTCAGTCCTATATCTGGAGAAGAGAGACCTAAGACGACGGTTGTAGTTGTGGTCATACCTATGATATCGCATGTGAACCTGAACAGTATAGAAAAGTCTTGTGTTTATAATGTAAGTAATATGAACATTATGATGGTGATTGTGCTATACTCTTGTCTCTTCTCCTCGACCCTATTTCCTTTCCTTACCCCTTCTTTCCCTCTTCTGTGCTGTGCTGTGCCGTGCTGTGCCGTGCTGTGCCGTGCCGTGCTGTGCCGTGCCGTGCTGTGCTGTGATCTGCTGTGCTGTGATCTGCTGTGCTGTGATCTGCTGTGCTGTGCTGTGATCTGCTATCCTGTGCTGTGTTCTGCTGTCCTGTGCTGTGCTGTGCTGTGCTGTGCTGTGATCTTCTATGCTGTGTTGTGATCTTCTATGCTGTACTTTGATCCACTGTGATGTGCTGTGCTGTGAGCTGCTATACTGTGCTGTGATCCACTGTGATGTGCTGTGCTGTGCTGTCCTCTTATCTCCTTTCCTTTTTTCTCCTCTGCTCTGCTCTTCACTCCTCTCTTCTGATTTTCATTCTTTTATCCCATAGGTTATTGCGGAGAGTTTGTGGAGCAGATTGAAGCAGAACTCGTCACGCTATCATCAACGTATCGTCGAACTGTTCCTCCAGCTTCACAGTTTAACACCGCGACCATCTCTGTGTGAGAATGTCATTACTAACTCACTGATTGACCGCGTACAGGTAACCATAATACTCATAAAGAAATAGAAAACGCCCTTGCGGGCTGTGTGCATTTATAAAGCATGCAATACAGGGATGGAAGACGCTATTCAACCGGTACTTCATACCGTTTGATTGGAACATGTTTCGAGAGATTTTACTCTCACCGTCAGCAATACTGATTGCCAGCACTGATGTATGTAATCGTGTCTTGACAAATAAGTATAACAAAAAGCCTTCCTTTCGTCGTCCCCCTCCCTCCCCCTGCCCCCCACCCCCACCTCCGAAAACACGGCTCTTTTCTCAGGCCGAGGTAAAAAAAGTTTGAAGCTCTGTATTGAACGATTTGTGTATAGGAAAGCCGTTTAGATGGCCACTGGAAGTTTGCAGTATTCTGGCACGCAGCCCGAAATGTAGTTATCCAAGACTCTGGCCGAACGTCGAGGCTTGGCGATGTTCGACCTTTAGACAGGTAAGAACAAACGCAGCGTGTTGATTTAGATCGTGCGGTCATTCAAGGTTCCCCCTCAGACAATAGCGAGCCAATCACCGTTGCAGCAGTTTTGCCAGTGGAATAGCCCACTTCCGAGATATCCTTCGCTTGTCATGCACAAAGGTTTCAGTATGAGGCTACGTGCTAAATTAAATTTATTCTTACCGCCTGTCACGAATGACTAAGCATTTAGCACGTAGCCTCATACTGAAACCTTTGTGCGTGACAAGCGAAGCATATCTCGGAAGTGGGCTATTAAGATATTGTCCACGTGTATCAGATCACGTGTTATTCCCTAGAGTATAATATCTTTGTTTAATGGTTGTGCATGAGAAGACACGTGAATATGGACACAACTTAAACAGAAAATCTTATTCTCGAGAGAATGACATGTGGTCTGAAATGGGACAATATTACTCCCATGTCATTTAATGGAAATGTAAATCTAGACGATTTATTTACCTTTTTTGTTAAACATTTTCACAGAGCCTTGTTTATAATGTTGGACAGCCTCGAAAGTGATGATCCTGAGATAAGGTATGTCTTCGTCAATAAAGCCTTCATCGATAAACCCATTCAGCTTAGTCATAATATTATATAAAATTGGTCTCCAATTCACCGATTTCCCCATAGATTGTACGTGGTGTACTTGCTGTTATGGTCACCCAAAAATTTGGACACTGTCGTTGAATTGTCGTACAAATGTACAGTTTTGTCATTAGAATTCGTTTGGTTGACAGCACGTGGTTATCAGTGTTTCACCACCATTTGGAGCAGATATAAATGAGATTTAAAGACTCTCATTAATCAACGGATTCACCTCTTCACCTAGGGCGTAATGTTTACCCTTTTCAGAACATGTGTCATTCCCTAGAGCATCATTACTTTGTTTAATGGTTATGTATGAAAAGACGCATGAATATGGATAAAACTCGAACAAAGAGTCTTATTATCAAAAGAATGACACGTGGTCTGAAATAGTCAAACATAACGCAAAAGGTAAAGTGGTATATAGACCTCGGCTCGGGCGTAATTTTGTCCTATTTCAGACCACGTGTCATTCCCTAGAGTATCCTTCCTTTGTTTAACGGTTGCGCTCGGTTGCGCATGAGAAGACACATGAATATGGATACAACTCAAACAAAGGATCTTCAATTCTCAAGAGAATGACACGTAGTCTGAAATGGGACAACATTACACCCAAGCCGAGGAGGTCAATTGAAACTTCCCAACAGTTTTGATACCCCAAAAATGACTCGCAGAGCAGAACTAGGTTTAAAGGGTTATTATCTTTTTCTAGGGTTCTTACCAAGCAGTGGCTCGCGCATGCGCTCCAGCATGGTGATCTTGGCCGCCTTGTCGATCCTCTATTGGTCTTACTCCTTCATCCAGCAACAACTCGCTTATCAATACACCACGCGTTAGACTTAAGGAGAAAAGCTAAAAATAAGGACATGATGAAAGGTAAGTTACAGTGGGTCCTTAACCTTGAGGCCCGTTCGCACTTTCCGCTTTGGGTAGCATGTTGGTTCTGTAATTTTCCTTCCTGATTGATACCC